TGTCTTTCTTCTGTTCCGACAATCAACATACTGGTTTGGTCAAAAATAAATTCTTAATTCACAGAGTTAGGTGTGAAAATATTCTAAGTTGATGATCTGTGAGGTAAAATCAACATTTTTGTCTCTGGAGTCTGGTGGAGAGCTGGTTTCTCATCAGTGGCAAAAACAAGAAGTTTTAGTTGATATACATAAAAACATGGGAAAATAAATTCCCCTTTAAGCAGCATCTAGTGGCCATTAGTGGAACTGCACCTTTAAAGGTTTTATTGTAGATTGTGTGTCCTCTAACCATCGACAGACTCCCACAGCGATGAGCCTCTGGGAGAAATGCTGTTTATAAAAATTACACCTGGCTCTAAATCAAAGTGTTGAGATTGTAGAAAACACTTTTAAATCCGGGGTGTGATCGGAGGAGCTAGACCACCCTGCAGATCACTAAATCACGAGCACACACACACACACACACACACACACACACACACTGTATAATTCATGGTTGCTATCGAGCTATAAAAACATACCCGACTACAAAAGTTTAAACAGATTCCTCAGACGTGTGTTTGATTTACGGCCGTGAGCGCGGTGGAAGCGCTGTAATCACTGTGGTTCGTATGAAAGAGCTGATTATTCTCTCTGTAACACTTTCGTATCGTTGTGGTGAATTTCCAACTCTGGCTGAACAATGTTTTGTTTTCTCCATAGAAAGGCGACCTCCGCTCTCACACTGTGCTGTAGGGCCGTAGATACCGCTGTGGTCGCCATGTTGCGGAGGTCAGATCTGCTACATTCAGACTGTAACTCGATTAATTCTGAACCGATTTTAATGACATTTGTTTTGTTCTGAACGTGAGGAATTGCAACCAGCATCAGGTTCAATTTCTCACGTTTATAACAACGTTTATATCTCAGTGTTGTTAACTAGCGGATCTGACCTCTGCAATACGGCGACTGTGCAGACAAGCACCAAATCGAGAACGCAGCGTTTGTACATCTGCGGCCGAGAACCCCTTTATCAAGAGCAGGACCAGGACTGGTTAAGACCGAGGCAAAGTCCAATTTACTTCTGGAAAAAATGCTTATTTTGCTCAACTCAGTTGAGACCAAAGACCAAGTCCGAGTCCAGATACCAACGAGTCCAGATACCAACGAGTCCAGATACCAACGAGTCCAAATACCAACGAGTCCAGGACTCCAACGAGTCCAGATACCAACGAATCCACATACCAACGAGTCCAGGATACCAACGAGTCCAGATACCAACGAGTCCAGGATACCAACGAGTCCAGATACCAACGAGTCCAGATACCAACAAGTCCAGGACACCAACAAGTCCAGATACCAACAAGTCCAGATACCAACAAGTCCAGATACCAACGAGTCCAGATACCAACGAGTCCAGGATACCAACGAGTCCAGATACCAACGAGTCCAGATACCAACAAGTCCAGGACACCAACAAGTCCAGATACCAACAAGTCCAGATACCAACGAGTCCAGATACCAACGAGTCCAGATACCAACGAGTCCAGGATACTCGAGTACTACAACAGACTAACAAACACAGGTGTAGTGCTGCACACCGGAACGACGCTCCACCACTACGTGTTCACCAAACAGAATATTTGACGGCAGTTAGCGGTTGGCTACTTCTCAATCTGTCCATCGGGAAACTCTGTATATGACTCCGGTACTGTGACGTTATTCCCTGTTGGTCTCGGAGGCTGTCGCCCACTAACAGCAGATACAGTCAGCAGCTAATTGGCAGTTGGCTAAAGCTTTCTGTCCATCGGGAATCGTTGAAGAGAGTCGAAGCTGAGCAGCCGGAGAACGTCAGAGGGAAAACCAGGAAATATTTCCTCCATAAAGTCTGATCCAGTTTCACCAGAATCCCTGAATACAGATATAGAGTATGTGCTGTAGTGGGAGGAGTTTACGTTCTCTTTCTCTCTGTGTGTGTTCTCAGGTTGTGATTTAGGATTTGACCTTTGACCCCTCCGGCGCTAATCAGGACTCACAAACTGCATGATGTCGTTCCTTGTGAGGACCCTCAGTGACATAATGCATTCCTCAGCCTGAACCTAAACCTGGTTCTAACCTTAAACCCGAACCAGGCCCCGACCCTCAGAGGAACATCCCACAATGCACAGCGGTCTACTGCAACACTACCTAGTGTTTGTGCTCTGTAGAAAAACGCTAACTAACAAACTAACTAACACGACATAGATCAGCTAATGAGTCCGTTGGTCCCGGAAAGTAGACGCTAACTCATAGCGCTAGCAGTAAGGGGACACACACACACACACACACACACACACACACATTGCTGTATGGTGTCATGTGGGAGCTATGCTGGATGATGTAGCCACTCTGGGCTTGTTATGTCTACACATCTGGTAGTGTGTGTGTGTGTGTGTGTGTGTGTGTGTGTGTGTGTGTGTGTGTGTGTGTGTGTGTGTGTGTGTGTGTGTGTGTGAACAGGACGAGGGGGTTTTCTTTTTATTTTCTCTCTTTACTCGGACAAAGAAAGACAGAAACCAGGTCAAATGTTTGAGTCAAACTCCGCACGACCCTGAGAGAGAGAGACAGACAGACAGTGAGACAGACAGACAGACAGACAGTGAGACAGACAGACAGACAGTGAGACAGACTCGATAGACAGACAGACAGGAGGTAAAGGTTTGAGGGGATTTCTGAAAGCTGTAATTGCCTCATCAAGAATTAATTAACTTCATTAATGACAATCTAATTAACTGACTGCAGGGAGAGAGAGAGACCCTTACTCCCTGTCTCTCTCTCTGTCTATATTCCTGTCTGTCTGTCTGTCTCTCTCTCTCTCTCTCTCTCTCTCGCTCTCATACAATATTTCCCATGAGAACCAGAGGCAGGAAGCCTGGATGGAATGAAAACTGTGTTTGACTGTTTAAGTGTGTGTGTGTGTGTGTGTGTGTGTGTGTGTGTGTGTGTGTGTGTGTGTGTGTGTGTGTGTTGAAGCAAACACAAAGAAAGTGAAGTGTGAAAACAGACTCTCAGCAGGGTGGAGGGTTGTATATGTGTGTGTGTGTGTGTGACATATTTTAACAGCTTCCTTCCCACAGCCTCTCAAAGAAACACACACACACACACACACACACACACACACACACACACACACACACTCTTCGTCTCGACACAAAATCAAAAGTAATTCAGGGAGCGTTTGATTTCCTCAGTGTGCAGTCTCTGGTGGGCGGGGTGTAACTCTGTAATTGATTTTGGATCGATCGATTAGCTCTGTGCTTCTTTTTGTAATGACAGACACAGAACCTGTGTTATTTATTCATGCTCTTATTTTGGCGCTTTTATTCTTCGTTTTCGGCCTCAACCAATCAGGATGAGCCTCGGTACCGACAGCACATTTAAAACATAAAGTCTGAGTTTGACTCTTCTTCTGAATGTATTTACTTTTATTAAAGCTTTAATGAGCAATTTAACAATATTAAATATTAATATTTAACAGCAGTGTGTGTGTGTGTGTGTGTGTGTGTGTGTGTGTGTGTGTGTGTGTGTGTGTGTGTGTTCTGTGTGTGTCTGTGTCTTCTAGAAGCGAGCTAGCATCTAGCAAGTACAAGTCAGTCTGCCGCAGTACCACAGACCCCTACCGCCTATACAAACAACCATAATGCACCGGGGCTGTTTGGCTGCCTGTGAACATACCAGGAGGGACGGCTGCTCGCTCAAACTAGCGTGACACAGAAACAGGCACTCTCTCTCTCTCTCTCTCTCTCTCTCTCTCTCTCTCTCTCTCTCTCTCTCTCTCTCTCTCTCTCTCTCTCTCTCTCTCTCTCTCTCTCTCTCTCTCTCTCTCTCTCTCTCTGAGCGTGCGAGGCATTCCTGCTCTGTAAAACCTGAAGAATCTGGTTCGGTCATATGAGCTCAACAGCTGCTGCACGCTCGCAAAAAAACCCCAACAGAGCGCTTTTTTATCGGGGAATCGTCCTGGCGGGAATCAAACCCGCAGCCCTGGCAGCGTTAGTGCCTTGCTCAGTTGGTTTCTGAATGTTTCCACTGCCAGCTTATCTCCCCGTCTGTCTGTCTGTCTGTCTGTCTGTCTGTCTGTCTGCCTGTCTGTCTGTCTGTCTGTCTGTCTGTCTTACCCACTAGAGCTTTTCCAGACTCAAAGCCACCAAAAATCCTCTGCATGCAAATAAAAAGTGTCAGAACGAGCACTTCCTGTAGCATCGCTAACGTCCATCAGAGACTGCTTACTCGACCTCTCTCGATGTGCGTTTTATAGGAATCTATAGGAACACATAGAAACCAGTGTGTGTGTGTGTGTGTGTGTGTGTGTTGAGGACCAGGTAGGGTGGCCATTCGTCTGGCTTTAGGCCGGACAGTCCGGCTTTTAAACAGCCTGTCCGGCTGCAGGCAACCTTAAGCACATTACCTCGTTAGTTTAATACTTATTGGCTAAAAATGTGTGTCAGAATAAGTAATTTCATTGGTTACATTTTCCTGTAGTGACCTATCAACACATGGCTAATGTTAATATTCAAATGAGCCATGTGTTGATTCACCATGTGATCACCCAGTTGTTACCACCAGGCTGTCAATCAAACTCTCAGACAGAGAACGTAACGTGAGCTAACGTCGGTTGTTGGACTGAAATACTGAAAATGCTCATACTCATATGTAGATAGGTAAAGTCTATACATCTGAAACAGAAGGTGCTGTATTTGTTTACCCTTTATCTATCCAGATAAAACATTAAGAACAGTTTCTGTATGATGGTTATTAGACCTATGTAATCTGAATTGGAAGGGCACGTTGTCATGAGCTGTATCTTGTATATTTATTATTAGCTATGTGGTATGTGTATGCACCTTTATGGAATCTGCTGGAAAAACATTAAAATTTAAAACCGGATCATACCAAACAAATATCTGCTTGTGTGTCCCTGTGTATGCAAAGTGTGCTCCTTTTGGTTGTGAAGGAAATGGCCACCCTGGGACCAGGTGAGTTACCTGTTGAACTCGTAGATGTCCTCGATGTTGCAGAACAGAGTGCTGACCTGCTCCGGTTTCAGTGGCAGCGTGCCGCAGTCGATGATACAGCCGAGATAATCCTGCAGACAGAGAGAGACAGAGAGAGAGAGAGAGAGAGAGAGAGAGAGAGAGGCCAAAGCTGAAATATGGTTTCAATAAGTGTGAGAGACTCGTTTCAGTATCAGAGGCTGCTGTACGCTCTCCACACACCTTTATACTCTCACAGGACTCAGCAGCTCACACAGGTGGATGATGTTTCAGTAATTAGACTGATCCACAGGACAGTGTGTGTGCACTGTTCTGCTGTGTCTCTCCTGAGGTGTTTACTGAAGCCTGACAGTAGCACAAAATGTTCAAATTGGCTAATGTTAGCTTGCAAAATCCCTTCCCTCAGACACCAGAGTCAAATACTTATGTAGAAGATTTTATCATATATTTTTATGGGTTTGCTTAAGTGACCTCCGCCCTGTTGATGCTAACATTAGCCTGCACCAGGCTGTCCTCGGTGTGTCTGTAAAGATCAAATTCTGATAATCAGCTTCACTTTTTGTGCTCCTCATCGACTTCCTGTTTTTATTCTGTTGTTTCCTGTCTGACTTCCTGTGTGATGCCAGCCTGAGCCCGGGCGTCTCTGACAGCACAGGTGGTTTCCTGTTCACAGGTTGGAGACGGTGTACATTCTGGTAGGTGAGGCGACACCGGATGCTGCGTCTGAACATTGTGACAGAAGTTAAACGAAGAGTTTTTAACTGGTTATAAACAGTCTCGGTTTAATACTGACACCTCTGTGTGACAGAAACAAACCACCAGAGAGAAGACTGGATATTTATTTACACATAAAGTCAAACTCCACAAACCATTTAGGGACATCAGATCGATACACATTTGGTTCAGTCTCGGCTAAACATAGCCGAATACGTGTTGAACTCCCTGTTGTGTCTGCAAGAGCACCGCCAACCAACCAACTAACCATCCAACAAACAAACCAACCAACCAATCAACCAACCAACCAACCAACCAACCAACCATCCAACAAACAAACCAACCAACCAACCAACCAACCAACCAACCATCTAACAAACAAACCAACCAACCAACCAGCCAACCAACCAACCATCCAACCAACCAACCAACCAACCAATCAACCAATCAACCAACCAACCAACCAACCATCCAACAAACAAACCATCCAACAAACAAACCAACCAGCCAACCAACCAACCAACCAACCAATCAACCAATAAACCAACCATCCAACAAACAAACCATCCAACAAACAAACCATCCAACAAACAAACCAACCAACCAACCAACCAACCAACCAACCAACCAACCATTGAGCCTTTTCAGAGGACAGCTCATCATGATGATGGCTAATGTTAGCATCGGCAGGGTGGAGGTTAGTGAAAGGAGAAGCAGAGGAAGTCAGGGTCTCATTTATTAAGTTACAAATTGGCAATAAAAAGTGATTAATACATAAAATGCTACAGATGCTAACAAATGACACACACAACCTGTGAGTCTTTTAAAGGGTTAAAGAGGAGCTGATTAGACATTATTGTCTATTAAATGTCACTGAATAAACTGTGTGTTTTACAGTTAATCACACACACACACACACACACACACACACACACACACACACACACACACACACATCAGTCATGCTGTAATGGAAACTTTAACAAACTGAAATCCGTCATCCAATCCTGTCAGAGTCCAAATTAGGTCATTTCCTGTAGTAGCTAGTAATTAGATTACATTGGAGGGGCGAGAGACACGGAGACAGAGAGGAGGGGGAGAGAGAGAGAGAGAGAGAGAGAGAGATAAGAGCAGAGAGATGGTTTCTAGTCCAGAAACCACAAACAATCATCAGCAAACACTGAATCAAACGGGAGCCTGAATGAAACTGAATCCAGATAGAAACCAGACAAAGTTCCCAAACTGGGATCCATGACGTCTCCGAACAGAACAACCAATCAGAGCCCAGAAACACTGTTAATTGTTGCATCTCGTTCCCAGGATGTCAAATACCGACCAGCTCAACTCAGAGATATAAAAACCAACTCTCTCTCTTCTGTCCCAGTTCAAAGGGTTTAAATATCCACTCTGTTGTTATTGTGCTGTAACCTGTGCGGTAGTTCATACTGCATTACAGTATATTTAAGTAATATTACAATATCAGTAAGTGAAGATTAATAATAGTAATAATAATTAGCAGTAATATATCAATATTAATACAGTACAATATAATGAAATACAGCAGAAACAGGTCAAAATACAGTAATAAATACAGTAAATTGCATTAGAGTACAGTTACAGTAGTTTAACTTACTGTAAATATACAAAAAAATTTGCTGTATTTTACTGTATTTTGGTTTATTTCTTAAATAAATGCAAAGAAAGGAGATTAAAAGGAGCTGAGTTGTCCTCTGTTATCTAAATATGTGTTACTGTAGCCTCGAACAACCAAACTCCATTCAGAAAACAAGCGATTTAAAAGCCGTTTGCAGACAGAATCCATCAGGATGTCGTTTACTGACATTAAATCAGAGCTAAAGCTTCGACATTTGGTGGAAAGTATGTACGCAGGTCTCTTTTAAAAGCCTGGTGTGGCTTCACGCTGTGACAAATAAATGCAGGTCTCTAATAGAGGCCTGGTCTGGATTTTATAGAAATTATCTCGATGTATAAAACCTCTTAAAACCCACCGGGTCGTTTCAATCTCCTACACAAAAATAAATGTTTAAACTTCTGTCAGTATGTACATAATGAACATCATTAGATCAGTTATAGATTCTCCACAATTCAATCGTTCAATATATTTTATGAAAACTATCAACATTAAACTATAACGTTAATTCATTCTGACTTACCGGTAACACGGTAAACAAGAGAGAAGGAAAAAAACCTCTGAAGCATCATAATCATCAAATTTGCTGAACGAAACTCAAGAGAAGCAGCAGTTAGAGTTTACTTTAGTTTAGTGCAAAAGGAATTAAAGGCCTGTCCCCAATAAAGGCCTGTCCCCAATAAAGGCCCAGGCTATTATTAGAAGTTTTCTTTGAAAACAAAGTACATTCACTGTAACAGTCTGCACAGAAAGTTTCTCATAATCATTTTATACTCAAAAACCAACTCTCTCTCTCTCTCTCTCTCTCTCTCTCTCTCTCTCTCTCTCTCTGTGTGTGTGTGTGTGTGTGTGTGTGTGTGTGTGTGTGAGTGTACAATGAGGCATATAATGAGAGGCCTTGACCACATTCATCACCTTTTAAAGGCAACAGGAAACACACTGGAGGGCACAGAGGGAGACAGAGAGGGAGAGAGAGAGGGAGAGAGAGGGGGAGAGAGAGAGAGAGAGAGAGGAGAGGGATAAGTGAGAAATGAGAGATCTCAACAGGAGGATGAAGAGGAGAAGACAGGAGGAATGAGGAAGAGATACGACGGGAAAAAGTCTTTAGTTAAAACAAACAGAAGAAAGAAGGAGAGAGAGAGAGAACGAGTGAGAGCGAGAAAACAATGGATCAAAGAAAGAAGTTAAAGAAAGAGGAGAGTCGGGTCTTTGTTTGAAAGTGGGTCAGAGAGGGAGGAGGAGGAGGAGGAGGAGGAGGAGGAGGAGGAAGACGAGGGTCCCGAAATCTGCAGCGAACACATGAAAGATGAGAAACCGCACTGTAAAAAGAAAACTGAGAAAACAACTTCACCAAAGTAAAAAACAAAAGATTAAAACCAACTTTTAATCTTTTGTTGAGATGATTTACTTTTCTTCTTTCAAAAAACTTAAATCTTTGATGTTATTTAAAAAAACTGAACTCTGAACTTGATTTTTTATTATTTGGAAGCTTTAAAATGATGATATTGATCAGAATACACTGTATCTTTATGGATGATATTGATCAGTATACACTGTATCTTTATGGATGATATTGATCAGTATACACTGTATCTTTATGGATGATATTGATCCTGTATTGACAGTCAGACTGTGGACATATGACGGCCTTTAGCTCGTGTTTCTAGAGTTACGTGTTGTTACGAACACGTTAGGAATTGTTAAAATGTGATATTTCTTAAAGGGAGTTTGGTGCAGGGAGCTTTTAGTTGCATTCAAACTGCTGATATGGCTCATTGTTAACGTTTAGTCTCCACTACAGAAACACTAGCTAACTGCTGAAAGGCTGATCAGTTTATTTTTCTCTTTCTCTTTAACATTTTCACCCTCCCTCCTTCTGTTTTTATACTTTACCCTTTCTCGTCCCCCACTCTCCCGTCTTTGTTTCCCCTTTCACTCTTTTCTTCTTTCCTCGTCTTTTCTCTACTTCTTGCTTTCTCCTCCCCTCCTCTGTCATCTGTTTCTCCCCCATATTTCTCCCCTCCTCCCCCCCTGAGTTTCCTGTCCCATTTGGCTGCAGGTCAACAGCAGGATCCAAACGTCTCATGTTCGCTCCACAACTGACTTTTTCTCTCTTAGAAAACTACAAAAAAAAAAAAAAAAGCCTCCCTCAGAATCAGATGATTATTTCTGATTTACTGATTTCAGCAGTTTGAGTGGAACCACGTCGAGGCTGCACTCTTATGAGACATTATTATTAAAGGTTTATAGAAAAATGAGTTTATAACAGAGAGGAGCTGTTCTCACTCTTTCTGTGTTTGAGTTGTTATTGTTCTCTCTCTCTCTCTCTCTCTCACACACACACACACACACACACACACACACACACACACACACACACACACACACACAGGCCTATTATGGTAGTTGGTTCAGATTCCCAGTGAGCGTGACATCATGTAGCCTCAATCAAAACCAGACTTCAGCTAAACCTCAAATACAGAGAGCAGCAGAAATGAAGGCTTACATTACAGGACAACACACACACTCACTCACCCACACACACACACACACACACACACACACACACACACACACACACACACACACCATCTATCAGACCTCCTTTCCATCAGGAGAGAGGAATTCTGGGATTGCTGCTCTGATTTCTCACACTGAGCAGTTGCTACGGGGGCCCATGGAGGACAGCAGTAATCATGTTTATCCTAAATATAAGCAATCATCATTATTATTTATTAAAACCATAAAAAATAAACTTTTTATTTATTGTTACGTGAAAATTTGTGGGTTTTCTGAATGGTGGAAAGGAGCCCAGCTCCTGAAATGGTTTCATTCTACTTTTGTTGTGTTTCTGTAGTGGAGACTAAACGTTAACAATGATCCATATCAGCAGTTTGAATCCAACTAAAAGCTCCCTGCACCAAACTCCCTTTAAGAAATATCACATTTTAACAATTCCTAACGTGTTCGTAACAACACGTAACTCTAGAAACACGAGCTAAAGGCCGTCATATGTCCACAGTCTGACTGTCAATACAGGATCAATATCATCCATAGATACAGTCTATACTGATCAATATCATCCATAAAGATACAGTGTATGATCAATAATCAATAAAGATACAGTGTATACTGATCAATATCATCAATAAAGATACAGTGTATACTGATCAATATCATCCATAAAGATACAGTGTATGATCAATAATCAATAAAGATACAGTGTATACTGATCAATATCATCAATAAAGATGCAGTGTATACTGATCAATATCATCCATAAAGATACAGTGTATGATCAATAATCAATAAAGATACAGTGTATGATCAATAATCAATAAAGATACAGTGTATGATCTGTACAAACTTTATAAATGAACCAGACTCCATTCAGAAAACAAGCCTTTTAAAAGGTGTTTGTTACCGACAGTCGTCATGATTAAAGTATTAAATTGTGATTTTATTAATCTAAACTAACGACAAACGAATGTTTCAGTGAATTAAAGAGGAGCTAACGATAGCCGGGTGGCTAATGCTACAGCTAACCCTAGCTAGTGTTTCCATTCAGCTGATCGGTTCCTGTATTGATTCCTGATGGATTTTCTGTATAGGTAGGTTTGTGTATGTTTTCAACTGTTTTATTACCCCTGGAACTTAAAATTACTCAAAAAAAATAAAAAAACCTACTAATAACCTGTTAATAATCTACTAATAACCTGTTAATAATCTACTAATAACCTGTTAATAATCTACTAATAACCTGTTAATAATCTACTAATAACCTGTTAATAATCTACTAATAACCTGTTAATAATCTACTAATAACCTGTTAATAATCTACTAATAACCTGTTAATAATCTGTTAATAATCTGTTAATAATCTGCTTTACTGACGGCCGTGAGACAGTCAGGAGGGATTAACCAACGAAGAGGAACGATGAGAGCGAGAGAGCTGGAGGTTCGTCCTCTGTAAAGGTCGGAGAGAAGAAACTGACAGACAGCTGATAAACCTGATGACAGCCAGTGTGTGTGTGTGTGTGTGTGTGTGTGTGTGTGTGTGTGTGTGTGTGTGTGTGTGGATGGCAGAGGATGAAAGCAGCAGTAAATTCTCTTTTACTTCAAAAGGATGTTTCACACTCCAGTCAGACAGATGGATATACACACACACTCACTCTCTCATTCACACACACACACACACACACACACACACACACACACACACACACACACACACACACACACACACACACCTCGGTGCACCTGGACCAGTGATGGATGAAACATGCACACACAATCAAACAACCAAGTCAGCAAGTTCTCACATTCAACTATTTTCCATTCAAAACTCCCTTTAAAAAACTTCATATTTTACTCAACGGAGAACCAAAGTACGTCTGACACATTCCTCTGTATCTGTATCTGCAGCTGAGGTGAAATACTGATTGTAAAGTAAGTAACACTGTTCTTGTTTGTTCAAATATTGATGATTTATTAATTTAAGTTCCTTTTTTAAGAGATTTAAAATAATAAAATTAAAGAAAAGTAAAAAAAGTCCCACAACAGCTCAATAAGAAGCCTCTTAATGTTGGGTTTTTGAATTGAATTAATTTAAAAGTAAAGCGGTGTATTTAAAGGTTATACATGCAACATTTATTGTCATTAGAGCATCAGCATCTCAGACCAAAACAGTGGCTACTACAGTCCAACTACAGTCCAACTACAGTCCACCAGACTCCATTGACAAAACCTGTAATTCTACCTCGCAGATATAAAACACACTTTAAAGTCGACAGCAACAGAATAAAACTCATTAAAACCGTCTTTGTTAGTGTTTAGATTATAAAATAGCCACGAAACTGGTTGCTATGGCCGCAACGTAAACTAACGTTAATCCTTGGGGACAAATACACCTTCAATGTGTGTCCACTAACAGTAGTTGTTGTTTGTTCCACTAACAGTCTCTCCACCAGACTCCAGAGACAAAAACACTTGGGGTCCTCCCCCAAGAAATGTTGATGTTATTTGACTAAAACTAAAAAAATGATAATTATTATGACAATATTTATTAAACAACCCAAACAGTTTTTCACATTCCACAAGAAAAATGTGCTGAACCGGATTAGAATGTTTTATATACATTAGATATAACTAATATAATAATATATATAATACATAGAGAGACATTTAATCTTGTTATTAAAGGATTTATTCACTTCATGTTGAACCAAAAACCATCATCATGCTCAACATCTGTGGCGCAATAGTGGGCGGAGGAGTGTGTGTGTGTGTGTGTGTGTGTGTGTGTGTGTGTGTGTGTGTGTGTGAGTGTGTGCCAGCTGCAGGTAAACTGACCCAGAGGTATTCACACCTGGCCAGTAAATCTAGGTTACAGCTAGCTCCTCCCCCCAACACTCACTCACACACTCACACACACACACACTCACACACACACACACACACACACACACACACACACACACACACACACACACACACACACACACACGTTTCTATGTATTAGTGCATTAACTACATTAAACCACAGCTGCATTGTGATTGGCTGACAGGTGCCTTAATGAGAGCAAACACCTCAGAATACAAAGTCATGGTTTAGTTACCATGGTTACCAGTCCCCCCCCCGCCAGAGGCTTTCTGCTGTTCCCACAGGGCAGAGGTGAACAGTCACTTCCTCCTGCTGACACCGTACAGTCAACTTCTGTTTTTGTCTTTTCTGAGGTGTCATTCAGAAAGTGTAAGAAAAAAAACATGAAGTCTTTTATAACGTCTGTTCCAGCTCCAACAGGAGCGACAAATTACTACAAATCAGCCCCAAAACACGAGCTTACTCGTATCCAAAGCTCGATCAATACGAGGGGATGCTAAGAAAAGAGTACATTTTCACAGGAAGATAAAGCAGATTTAATATAAATGTAGTTTTTAAAATAGCTTCACGTCTAAAACAAGTGACCACAGCGCGATGAAGTCGTCACAGCCACAATTAATAACAACACAACACATCCAAAATGTGACAACAACAAGAACAACAACTATCAGATCCGTTAAAGAACGGCAGGTTATTAACATTTATGTATTTCTTTATTTAAAAATTATAATTGGGACCATGCAGGTTCGTGGCTATAGAAACCCCTGACCCCTGCAGATTGAAGTTATATTAGGCGCTGTTCAGATAGTCATTCATCTTTCCACTCTTTCAGACGGATCAATAAGAGAAACCCTCCATCGCTGCGTCTACATGAGCTTCAGTAATCAGGTTTCTTTCGGATTTCTGCTGTCACCTGATTTCTCAAACACCATAAAAACGAGGAACCTGTTCTCTGAGGGAGCTGATTAGGAAAACGGGATTCCCCCGAGTCCACAGATACAGTTTCTAATTGGCTTTTTCCATGTGAGCATGTGACTCCAGACAGAGACAGTATCAGTGCGACAGCAGAGGAGAGAGAAAGTCCAAAAACCCCCGAAACTAAAGGCCCCGACACACCAAACCGACGTCAGGAACTAGCTTGTCTTCGTCAAAAAGAGACACTAGAACAACGACGACCAGCACAGATGAGAGGTAATAACTCTCCGTACCAGCAGGTGGCGCTAGTCTGCATTTATAAAAGACCATCGGAGGAACAAAAGCAGCTCTATTGATGGCGGTTTACCAGTTTCCGCAGCAGCTGCTTCTACGACAATCTGCTAATGGACCGGTACTGAGAACACTTCTTCAACCAGGTAGCTTAATGCTAACAAAACAGAGCTGAAAATGAGCTTTAAATAATTAGGGTTGGACTGAATTCGGGTTCTGGCAACTTTTTTGGTCCATTTTCAGGCCCTGATAAGAGTCTTCGGAGGAAGTCGCTCACTGTTTGTAACCGTTGGACAAACAAAAAAGATATTTTGAGGTCGTTTTAAACCTTTTGAAGTCTGAAGAAATGTTTAAAATATTAGTAATCGTGAGTCGGGTTCTTACCTCCACGATGCTCTTCAGATCTCTGACGTAGGCCTGTTCCGTCTCTACGATCTCCATCATGACTCGATCCATTCGGGAAAGCTGTCTTCTGGGCGTGGCCACTGCCGCCGCTGCCGCCGCCGCCGCATCAGCTACATGTCCATTTGGGGGGTGACCTCCATCTGTCGCCTTGGCAACACAAACTCCTCCTCCTCCTCCTCCAGGAACTCCTCCTCCTCCTCCGTGTGGTGTGACGAGGGGCGTGAGGTCCAGGCTGATGTCCGAGCCGTTCCTCTTCGGCGTGGAGGATGCCGACAGAGAGGCGTTGTACGTTGGCACGGCGCCGTAGGGCAGAGAGGAAGAGGAGGAGGAGGAAGAGGAGGAGTGGGAAGTGTCCTGCAGGGAGACGGATGACGCAGAGGAGGAGAGGGAGAGGGAGGCGGGGCGCTCGCCGTCCGAGCAGACTGTGTTGACGGAGGTGCAGGAGGAGGACGAGGCTCCTCGCTCGCCGGACGACATCATCCTACCCACAATCCCACTCAGAGACGAGACTGAGGAGGGACGCTTGGCGGCTGCAGAGACACAGAAAGGAAGTGATGTCAGCTTATACGTCAGCTTATACGTCAGCGTCATCGCAGGATAAAATACAATTAAATAAAAGAGATTATTTCCAGGATATTTGGTCACTTTTGGTCACACTGAAGACTGTTTGGGCCCAAACAGGAAGCGAGAAAACACGTCTGTCAAATCGTCTTCTGATCATTAAATGAAAGAAACTGTCGACTGTCGGAGAGCGAAACCTGCGGATGTCTTTACAGTAAACAGGAAGTGTGTGTGCAACAGAGCATCAGATCACCACTGACACAATTCTTCCTTTTTTGTCCAAATTAAAAGAGATTATATTATCAGTGCTCATCCTGTAACGAGCATTTCCATTATATTTACATATATATATAACATTTATATAACATATATAATGTATATTTCATATTTTACTTGTTGTGTTGTGTCATTAAAACTTCCCTGTTCATGCATTGTGTGTTTTAAAAGCATTTCCTCCTCTATGTAAAGCACTTTAAAGTGTTTGCTTTCATGAGGCTCTGCAGCTGAATCAGGGCACGGTTAGCTTAGCTTAGCATAAAGACTGGAAGCAGAGGGAAACAGCTAGCCATGGCTTTATCTAAAGTTCGTAACTACAAAGACTGGAGCAGTGAGGAACTTTTGGGGGCTGGGGGGGGACCTCCGGGCACCGACAGACCAACACACTGTTCCTGCACTGTTAAAAAGAAATTTTATTTTTATGGTAAAAAACTGTACTGTTAAGATTTAATCCATCTTATACTGTATAAATATGAGTTTTTACCATCAAAAGAAACAGTTTTACCATATAAATGCTGTGACGGTGGTTTTCTGTGTAATTTACAGTCTTTAATATAAAAAAACAACTTTATTCCGTATAAAATCCTTTAAAGTGTCGTATAAATAAAGGTTTTGTTAAGATGTATCACAGTTTTACTGTTACAGAAACTAGAGTTTACGACATCTACAATGTAAATCTGTGTTTCTGAGGTTTCTGAAGCCGATAGTAAGCAAACACCAACACGTCCAAGACAAAAGACACAACCAGACTTGAAAACACAGGTTAGCGTAGCGCCTGCTAGCATCAGTTATATCCGAACTGAAGAGGAAAGAACAACACTGAAGATGTTTCCTCTCTTCTTGTAGTTTTATAGAGACTGTGATTGACAGCTTCCAGGTTGTCTGGGTCCATTTTCTCCTCTCATAAAACACATTCACTCATATTTAGAAGTGTAATTATATCTTTTCCCTTCGTCACAACTTCACGAGACCCTATAATCAAATCATTTCCAGTTTCCACCCCAGACAACGGCGCACCTGTCCCCGCCGGCTGGCACCGACGCACCGAGCTGCAGAAGTGTTTAAACTTCATTAGTGTTTGAATTCCAGACGTCCCGGCAGCAGGAATGTCCGAGCGGCGAGTGTTAACTGAGAACATTTTCCTATGAGACCCATAAGACCCTGGTTTCTTTCAGCTTCCTACGAGCGCAGGTTCTTACAGGAATCACTTCAGCAGCTGCCAGCGGTGCTGTAACGCCGTGAACCTCCTCGAACACGTGGCGGGAACGCGGTACGGACTCGTGCTTCGAGGTTTTAAAGAGTTGTTGTTCTTTGTTCCACATGAAGAGCTGATGTTTCATTTGGAAAACCACCAACACATTTTGTATAAACGACGCTGACCGACCCAGCAGCCCGCTCGGATGGTTTAACTCGTCGTCGCCACTTTAGGGGAAACGTGTGCGAGCTAACGTTGTTCTGTAATTTAAAAAACAAAGTTAGTGTAAAATTAGTAGTAAAAGCTGTTTAATAAAGAACCTTTTTTATATTATTTGAATGTTGTTGAAACATTTTTTTTATAAAATTCAAAAAATTAAAAATTAAGACTTATTGAAAGTAACTTAATTTTGTAAGTTAAAAAAAACATTTTTGATTAATTAATTAATAAGCTTTATTTTAAGTCCTAATTTTTGTCGTATGAAAACAAAATGAAAAACGTAGTAAAAAGAACTTAATCAGGAATGTTTCTGTAACTCATAAAATTTAGTTTGTGCTACTTAAAGTTGTTGATGTAATCAGTTTAAATAATTTCTTTGAGTTAAAATAACTTATAACAGTGTTTAATGTTTGGATGCATTGTGAAGTTGTCCTGAACTGTCAACAACCATAAATACAGCGAGGGGTCGTCAGTTTACTCGGTGAGCCATGGCAGTCGACAGGATGTGAGAGTGTAAATCACTGATATCGTTCACACGTCCACATCCTGCCTGAACCGAACACAAAATACAGTAAAGTCTGTTTGATGAATGTTCACAGATCACGTAGAAAAGAGAACCGCAACTGAAACCATCAAATCAACCAGCTTTAAAATCACCGACACAACAAAACGCCGGCCTAGCTTAGCAACAGTTAGCTAGTCGGCTGCGCCTGCCTCGCATCACTCTTGGCTAGTAGAAAGAAAAACGTTGTCACAATACATAAGTTGCTGGGGAAGCTAACGTTAGCCAACTAATATATCTACTCAGATACTATTTGCTAGCGATAACGTTAGCAATCAAGCTAACGTTATCCAGCTAACAGCACAATCAGACTATGTGTTCCACTAGCTTAGCATTAATGTTAGCTTTGACTTTGGACTCTGTGTTGTGGACTCTGTGTTGTGGACTCTGTGTTGTGGACTCTGTGTTGTGGACTCTGTGTTGGACTCTTTGTTGGACTCTGTGTTGGACTCTTTGTTGGACTCTGTGTTGGACTCTGTGTTGTGGACTCTGTGTTGGACTCTGTGTTGTGGACTCTGTGTTGTGGACTCTGTGTTGGACTCTGTGTTGTGACTCTTTGTTGGACTCTGTGTTGGACTCTGTGTTGGACTCTGTGTTGTGGACTCTGTGTTGGACTCTGTGTTGTGGACTCTGTGTTGTGGACTCTGTGTTGGACTCTGTGTTGGACTCTTTGTTGGACTCTGTGTTGTGGACTCTGTGTTGTGGACTCTGTGTTGGACTCTTTGTTGGACTCTGTGTTGTGGACTCTGTGTTGTTGGACTCTGTGTGTTGGACTCTGTGTTGTGGACTCTGTGTTGGACTCTGTGTTGGACTCTGTGTTGTGGACTCTGTGTTGTGGACTCTGTGTTGGACTCTGTGTTGGACTCTTTGTTGGACTCTGTGTTGTGGACTCTGTGTTGTGGACTCTGTGTTGTGGACTCTTTGTTGGACTCTGTGTTGTGGACTCTGTGTTGTGGACTCTGTGTTGTGGACTCTGTGTTGGACTCTGTGTTGTGGAAAGGTAAAGGTCACAACCTTTGACCCTCATCCTTCATAGAGACACATAGAAACCCGTCCACAGGCAGCAGAGGACCAGAGCTGTACGAGCATTAAACGAGAGCCTCGGTGAAGTCTTTATGTGAACGCGACGCAGTGCAGACTCTGAGTCAACGTCCGAGGTTTCACATTTATTCAGACTTAAAAGACGCCGACTGTAAAAGTGTCAGGACATAACGAGGTGAGCGGTTCTCTCTCCTGATCCCTGCTGAGATCACTCACACTCCCTCCCTCTCTTATCAGGACCTGGCTCTGCTCCCGGACAAAAACCAGCATGACTTCATCCTCGGGTTATAAACAGTGTCGACCCCCTCACATCATCATCATCATCATCATCATCATATCAGCTAATACGACCGCTGAGAAGCAGAGAAGGAAGTATAACCATAAAGACAGTGGACAACACAGACAACAAAAAAAGACAACTTGTCTTTTCAACATAGATTAGCTTAGCATTTAGCATATTTAAGTACAGGAAAGGAGGAAGTTGACCGAGGCTTGCTCGACTTTGATTGGATCACAGAGCAAAAGGGGGCGGGGCTTAGCACGGGCCAATTGTTACACTGCACTTTACATTACAGCTTCGTACTAACATGGTTATAATGAGGTAATATTAATGTGTTATTTATAAAGTAATAGCTTAGCATTAACAGCGGGTATATCTGGGTAAAAGGGTAATAAGGGGCAAAAAACCCAGAGTGAAAATGGGGAAACACATTTAAAGATAGAAAAGTGGAAAAACTATTTGGTAATAATCTAGTAATATAACATAATATAATAATAAAGTAATATTTTAGTAACAACATTGTAACCTGCTAACAATAAAATGGTTATATTAGTGCATTATGTGATATTTTGTTTTTAATCCAAATTAACCAATCTTTTGTTTTTTGCCCCTAATGCTAATATTACCCAGAATGCTAATAGTACCAAGAAATACCCATTGTTAATACCAAGCTATTACCTGGTTAATGCTTTGGTCATTACATGTTAATATCTTATTATTACCTATTATAATCTGCTGCAAAATAGAATCTGAACTGATCGATTGATCGAATGACTGTTGATTACGTTCATATTGATGCTATCAGCTGCGTACGCACCTCGAGGGACAAACATCAATCGATCGACAGCAGCTGATCAATCTATAGTTGTAGGTTGTTGTTTTGAACACATAACAGGAGAAAACAAACTCTCAGCGACAGAAATTTCTGTTTTTCTGAACTCAATTTCAATAAATTAAATTTCTTAATGATAAAAAAAACTTTCCTGCAGAAACACCAAAAAAACAGAAAACCTGAAACCAGATCAGTTCCTTCAGGTTTCCAGCATCAATCTACACACAGATATCACAGATATAGAGAGACTGTAGACGTACTTACAGTTTCTCTGTCAAAATGTCTGATTCACGCCACCGTTAGAGACCGACTGAAGTCTATCAGTCACACACAACAGTTTCTCAACGTGTTTGATTTCCTGTTGTTGGCTCTCAGTGTGAGTTCCTGTACTTCTGTTTTTTTTTGAGAACCAGTTCGAATTTTAGGTATTTCTGGAAGGACATTTGCTGTTTGAGGGTTTAATGGTAACAGTGAGATTGAGGGTTGGAGGTTAGAGGTTAATGGATAATGACTGAGGGTCCTTACAAGCACAGATCTGTATATATATTGTGTGTGTGTGTGTGT